ATTCATCTCTATGGAGAACGTTCAGCGCCTCCATTCAAAGCATGGAGATGCTGAACATCAGGGCTGCACACTGTGCAGCAGTGACCCAGGAAGCAACTCTAGTGGCCGCATTAGTGACTGCCATTAGAGGTGTGCCTAAAAAGTAGCGTAAACACTCTTCTCTGAAAAGGCAGGGTGCTTACATTTAAAAGCCTGCAGGAACATACTATACACACCAGAACAACTACATTAAACTGCAGTTGTTCTGGTGACTATAGTGTCCCTTTAAGAGATAGAGATTGCTGTGGTTACTTCCATGGGATTATTTTTGTGCTTGAATTATGTTTAAAAGTTCACTGTCTACATTCTGAGAACTTATAAAAGAGCTCCAACAACCCCTTGTGAGATCACAGTACTGTACTATTTTGTACAGCATCATTATCATGCTATAATCTATAAAACATGTACTAGGGTTCCTAAATTCTGATTATCTCTGCTTACATGAAAAAAAAACTCACTTGAACATTGCAAAGACTGAGGCAATATGAATTAAGATGCTTAACAAAAATGAAATTTGTACTAATTACCCATTTATTTATGCATTTAATTTTAAGTTTTAAAATGATTGCTATTTTTTTCCAACATACTCCCATTAACTTTATTGCTATAAAGGGGGCTGTTATTGTTTATATACGAACATTTTAAATACTAAATGTTCATTCACTGAATAAATGTCTGCATTCCTAATGAAGTTACTATGCAAATTGTGAGTTGAAGATAATAAAAAAGAAATACTTTAAAGCAGAATGCTTTTTTTTTTGGGTGAGTCGTTAATGTAATGAACATGTTTTTCTGTATACAAAGAAATGCGTTATTTAAAGCTGTTTTTATTTTAAAAAAATTGCTATAGGTAACACTTACATTACAGGTCTTTATTTGAACTGTTAACCCGATTGGCTTACTCTGTAGTGGTTTAAAACAGAGATATATATTTAACTAAGTTGAAATGATTTGTTACTTCAAAATATTTAGGTAGTTTTAACCCTGGCACTATAACTCTTCCAGTTGCTATGGTAACTGTTACACCATAGAGCTGCTCTGCTCTTGCATATAGGAAGACAGACTACTATACTCCCACCTGCAAGTGTGTGATGGACATCTGTTCAATACCTTTTTGAAGAACAGCTTTCAAGGCAAAACGGAGACAACGGCAATTAAGATCTATTCAGGGGTAAATAAATGGAAATGGACTCCTACATAAAGCTGCCTCAGAGATTACCCTCTCTATATAAATTCCTCAATTCTGAGAAAGTATTAAAGGGGACAATAGAGACCAGAGAGGATACTGCTGTTCAACATGCCTTCTCAATGGAAGTTTCTATCATACCACAAAAAAAAAGGATATGGGAGTAGTTCTCACTTCAACCGTAGGTGGTGCTACTGCACATCCACAGGACAGATAAAGGACTACAGGAGTGGGTCTAGCCACAACACATGCATAAGGTCCCTGTGCAAACCACTATACATGACTCGAGCTCTATGTAGTATATGCAGTCAGTCAGGTGATACTAAATAAAGTCCATATATGTGATACTTAAACAGTACTAGTTGTACAATTTAAGTTATTCAATTACAAGCACAGCTGTTTAACTACAGTTGGAATTGGTTTATTAGATGCAACAATATCTTATGAGTAAAATAACATTTTAAAGGTAAATTTAGAAAATTGTTGCCACTTTTTCCTGCTTATATGTATAAAGTCTCCCAACGTTATCTTTCTAGTTTTTATCACTGGAGATTTTATATCATTATCAGTTAGGTAAAATGAATATATACATTAGACAACACAGCAAAAGGAGGGCTCATTGTGTTAATTATGTCCAACAACCCACCCACCACACACTACAAAATTGTAAGCTTTTACCAGGAGAACATGATTTTCCATACGGATAACTTGTATTGTCTTTATGCTATACATCTTTGCTGTACAGTCCTTGTGAAAGATGTAAAATGACCTTGTGTAACATGCTGGAATTGTATTAAAAATATATCACGTTTAAATATCAACTTTGAATTTTACAAACAAAAGGTGCGGGTACCAATATTTCTTAAAAATCTGGATTTCATTTAGAATGTATCCCCAGTGGGAGCAACATCATTGCAGCAGCTGCCAAAGGCATTATTTTTGTTATATTAGCTCAACATCTTCACCTCATAATGGTGTTTTTTTTTCTAACCCCTGAATTTATATTTCAGACTGGGCCCCAAATAACAGTATTGATTAGTAACTCCAATAACTCAAAAGCAACCAGGCACTGCAGAAAAGCCTAAGCAGAGGTATCATCTCTGGAAGGCTGCCCACAATCTCCTCCCCACATCACACCACCCCATCCCACCCCATGGTCATTACGTCAATACGCCTAGATAGACAGATCAGCTGGTTTTCCAAACACACCAATCAAGTCACTAAACCTCTCCTTCTGAAATCTCTCTGTTAACAAACTGAATCCTTAACCATGGTTTAAACACTCATAGGGCAGACTAGATGGGCCGAATGGTTCTTATCTGCCGTCACATTCTATGTTTCTATGTTTCTATAGGTATATGTGTGTGTGTATCTATGTCTTTGATTATATATGTGCATATACAGTTGCAAGAAAAAGTATGTGAACCCTTTGGAATGATATGGATTTCTGCACAAATTGGTCATAAAATGTGATCTGATCATCATCTAAGTCACAACATTAGACAATCACAGTCTGCCTAAACTAATAACACACAAAGAATGAAATGTTGCCATGTCTTTATTGAACACACCATGTAAACATTCACAGTGCAGGTGGAAAATGTATGTGATCCCCCTAGACTAATGACATATCCAAGAGCTAATTGGAGTGAGATGTCAGCCAACTGGAGTCCAATCAATGAGATGAGATTGGAGGTGTTGGTTACAGCTGCCCTGCCCTATAAAAAACACACACCAGTTCTGGGTTTGCTTTTCACAAGAAGCACTGCCTGATGTGAATGATGCCTCGCACAAAAGAGCTCTCAGAAGAACCACGATTAAGAATTGTTGACTTGCATAAAGCTGGAAAGGGTTATAAAAGTATCTCCAAAAGCCTTGCTGTTCATCAGTAAGACAAATTGTCTATAAATGGAGACAGTTCAGCACTGCTGCTACTCTCCCTGCCCTGTAAAGATGACTGCAAGAGCACAGCGCAGACTGCTCAATGAGGTGAAGAAGAATCTAGAGTGTCAGCTAAAGACTTACAAAAGTCACTGACAAATGCTAACATCCCTGTTAGCGAATCTACAATACGTAAAACAGTAAACAAGAATGGATGTCATGGGAGGATACCACCGAGGAAGCCACTGCTGTCCAAACAAAACATTGCTGCACGTTTACAGTTTGCACAAGAGCACCTGGATGTTCCACTGGCAAAATATTCTGTGGACAGATGAAACCAAAGTTGAGTTGTTTGGAAGAAACACACAATACTATGTGTGGCGAAAAAAAGGCACAGCACACCAACATCAAAACCTCATCCCAACTGTGAAGTATGGTGGTGAGGACATCATGGTTTGGGGCTGTTTTACTGCGTCAGGGCCTTGACGGATTGCTATCATAGAAGGAAAAATGAATTCCCAAGTTTATAAAGACATTTTGCAGGAGAACTTAAGGCCATCTGTCTACCAGCTGAAGCTCAACAGAAGATGGGTGTTGCAACAGGACAATGACCCAAAGCATAGAAGTAAATCAACAACAGAATGGCTTAAACAGAAGAAAATACGCCTTCTGAAGTGGCCCAGTCAGAGTCCTGACCTCAACCCGATTGAGATGCTGTGGCATGACCTCAAGAAAGCGATTCACACAGACATCCCAAGAATATTGCTGAACTGAAACAGTTCTGTAAAGAGGAATGGTCAAGAATTACTCCTGACCGTTGTGCACGTCTGATCTGCAACTACAGGAAACATTTGGTTGAAGTTATTGCTGCCAAAGGAGGTTCAACCAGTTATTAAATCCAAGGATTCACATACTTTTTCCACCTGCACTGTGAATGTTTACATGGTGTGTTCAATAAAAACATGGCCACAGTTCATTTTCTGTGTGTTATTAGTTTAAGCAGACTGTGATTGCCTATTGTTGTGACTTAGATGATGATCAGATCACATTTTATGACCAATTTGTGCAGAAATCCATATCATTCCAAAGGGTTCACATACTTTTTCTTGCAACTGTATGTATAATCTTCATATCTACACAACAAAATATATTTTCTTTAAATAATGTTCTCCCGTATATTTTTCACTTCCACTCTAACTTCTCTGATTATTAAAATATACCTATCTTTCTGCCCACCTGTTCCTGGTGAAACCATCTTCATTGCTCCCATTTTACTCCCCTCCCCTTTCTATTCATCCCATTCACTCTACATATACCCTTCCAGCCTATCTCCACCAACTCCTCCCAAATCTTCTATATACATACCCACTTACAAAACTTTCAAATCTTACTCAACCCTTCACTTCCTTTCTATACGTCTGCTTCTAGCAGCTGGTGATGTCTCTCTCTAAACCCCGGTCCCACCTCAGCAAACCCACCACATACTAACTCAAGGAACCACAATCTCATACCCAACTCAAGTTACTCTTCCTCTAAATCCTACTTCAATACCGCCCTCTGGAATGCACACTCTGTTTGCAACATTACAAAATCCACTGCTGTCCACAACCTCTTCATCTCTCGTTCCCTAGACTTACTAGCCTTAACAGAAACATGGTTCACCCCCTCTGACACTGCTAACCCTGCATCTTTATCTTTTGGTGGCCTTCAACTTACCCACAACCAAAGACACTCTGAATGTAAAGGTGGTGGTGTAAGTTTTCTACTCTCGCCTCACTGCTCCTTCAAACTTCTACCCACCCACCATTGCCTCTCTTTTTCATCATTTGAAATCCATTCGATTTGCCTTTTCAAACCCCTTTTCTGCTAACGTTGCTGTTATTTATCGCCCCCTCTGGTTCCCCTCTCCTCTTCCTTGAGCACTTTGCTGCCTGGCTACCCTACTTCCTCTCCTCTAACATACCATCCCTAATTCTCAGGGACTTCAATATTCCAGTTAAACCACCCCTGACCTCACCCTCTAAACTACTTTCAATTACTTCCTCCTTTGGGATATCACAGTGGGCTAATTCTCCCACCCATGTAGCTGGCAATACCCTTGACCTCATTTTCTCTTATGCATGTACAGTGTCTAATATCTTCAACACTCCATTTCCCCTCTCTGACCACCACCTCTCATCATTTGCTCTTGAATATTCCCTCACCCAACAACCTAAGCCTAACCCCCCTCAACTCAGGACCAACCTTGGTCAGCTGTCAGCTGACATTGATTCACAACTCCTATACATCCCTTCTCTCTCCTGTCCTTCAGTGGCCCTGTCCACATAAAACACTACGCTCATCTGCCTTGAACACTGCAGCCCTGCTCCAAACATGCACCTTAAGGAAGACACGCTCCAAACTGTGGCATACCAAATTAACACACTACCTGCAAAGATGCTCCTGTTGTGCTGAAGACTCCTCGAAGAAGTTTCTCACCCAGTCAGACATTCTACATTATAAATTCATATTATGTTCATACAGCGCAGCCCTCGCCCTCGCCAAACAGTCATACATTTCCTCTCTCATTAGTTCATGCTCCCACAATCCCAGGCATCTATTTGACACCTTTAACTCTCTTCTTCGCGCTGCTGTGGCCACCCCTCAAACTAACCATACAGCCGACAGATTTGCATACTTCTTTACCGACAAGATTGAACAGCTAAGGAAAGAATTATCCCCACCCAGCCTTTCTCTTTCTCAACCACACGTAGATTTTGCCTTTCCTACCCTTCAGACTTTCTCCCCAGCTACTGAACAAGAGGTGGCTGTGCTTCTCCTTTCCTCTCGCCCCACCACTTGTCTGCTTGATCCTGTCCCATCTCACCTTATCAGATCTCTCTCCCCTTGTCTGGTGCCTTCCTTAACACACATCTTCAACTGCTCTCTCTCATCTGGCATTGTCCCTGCTGACCTTAAACATGCCACTGTGGTACCTATCCTGAATTAAACATCTCTCGACCCATCCTCCCCCTCTAACTATTGTCCCATATCCCTGCTCCCTTTTTCTTCAAAGCTTCTGGAAAGACTTGTCTTTACTCGTATGTCTCACTTCCTCAATTCCAACGCTCTCCTTGACCCTCTTCAGTCTGGCTTCTGCCCCCTCCACTCTACTGAGACTGCTCTTATCAAAGCTTCTAATGACTAGAGTTGAGCGGACACCTGGATGTTCGGGTTTGCCAGGTTCGGCCGAACTTCGGCAAAAAGTTCAAGTTCGGGACTCGAACTTGACCTGAACTTGACCCCGAACCCGAACCCAAGTCAATGGGAACCCGAACTTTTGGGCACTAAAATGGCTCTAAAATGGCCCCCACCCCTGCGCGGCGGGTGGGGGCCCTACATAACAATGAGGGGGGACCTACTGTCCTCCCCCGCCGACCCCCACCTCTGAGCAGTGGGTGGGGGCCCTAAATAAGATTGAGGGGGGACTTACTGTGCGGCGGGTGGGAGCCCTACATTACTATGAGGGGGGGACCTACTGTCCTCCCCCCTGACCCCCACCCACTGCTCAGGGGTGGGGGCCGGGGGGGAGGACAGTAGGTTCCCCCCCTCATTGTTATGTAGGGCCCCCACCCGCCGCGCACGGTTGGGGGCCGGGGGGAGGACAGTAGGTGTCCCCCCCTATTGTTATTTAGGGCCTGCGCAGGGGTGGGGGCCAGGGGGGAGGACAATAGCTTCACACCCCTTATTTTACTTTAGGGCCCCCACCCGCCATTCAGGGGCCAATAGGTTTTTGTTTATTTGTTTGTTATTTACAGTGAGCAGCCACTGGTGGGTTTACTAGACATTCCCCTACTCGCGGTATAGCAAGTAGGGGCTGAATTTACTAATACTAAGTTATCTTTAATTAGTATTAGTAAATGTGGCTGAAAGACCAATTTAGGTCTTTCAGCCTTTTGGTAGATAGCTCACATGCTGCACTGGCCAATCACAGTCATGCCATTAGTAGGCATGGCTGTGATGGCTTCTAAGGGCACACGAGTCAAAAGCTTGTTGATTGGCTGCCCTGCAGCTTTTCAAAATGCGCCATTAAATCGCCGAACACCGAACTCGAACCCGAACTGTTACTGTAATGTCCGGGTTCGGGGACAAAAAAATGTAATGTTCGGTACGAACCCGAACTTTACAGTTCGGGCTCGCTCAACTCTGCTAATGACTCAGCTAAGTCCACAGTCCACTACTCAATACTAATTCTTCTTGACCTCTCTGCTGCCTTTGACACCGTTGATCATTGTTTCCTTCTTTAAACTCTTCAATCACTCGGTCTCTGTGACTCTGTCCTCTCGTGACTTTCCTCTTATCCCTCCCAACACTCATTCAGTGTCTCCTTTTCTAATGATACCTCCTCCTTTCATCCTGTCTCAGTTGGAGTCCCCCAAGGCTCTGTCCTTGATCCCCTTCTACATTGTCTTTATTATGCCTCTCTTGGCAAACTTATTACCCCATTTGGATTCCAGTACCACCTGTATGTTGAAGACACCCAGATATATCTCTCCTCCCCAGACCTCTCCCCTGCCGTCCTGCAACATGTCACTGCTTGCCTTCTCCCACTTTCTGAAACTAAATCTCTCTACAACTGAACTCCTTGTCTTTCCTCCTCCTAATACTGGTCCTCCTCTTTCACTCTCCCTTCAAGTTAGTAGTATCCACATCAGTCCATCCTTGCAAGTACGCTGTCTGGGTGTCATACTTGATTTTGGCATCACCTTTGAGCCTCACATCCAGCATGATTACCAAGTCCTGTAGATTCCATCTTAAAAACATAGCCCGCATCCACCCTTTTCTTACGCAAGATGCTACTAAGGAACTTGTCCATGCTCTAGTAAATTCCTGCATGAATTATTGTAAAATAGGGGGTAAGAGAAGGACAAGGGCCCTGCAAACAAATGTGGATAGAGAAATCACTTAAAATAACATAAAAATGAAAAATACAGCTGAGCCATACAATAGCACTAGATGGAATCTTTGATTTTTGGGAGAACATAAAGCAAAATCTAAAGCATGGCTGTCAGGAGGATCACCAGAATTATCCATTTGAACGAGGGTTGGAGTGCAGGGTATTCTATTTCATTGTTCAAACTGAGCTCAACTCCGGATGCATGGAGAAAAGGTCTTCACAAGCCTCTGCTATTGTGTACATAGTTTATCCTAAGTGACCCATAAGTTGAGGAGGCGGTGACCATGGCAGTGTAGGTAGAAGCGGCGGTGGAGGAGGAGGAGGTAGCCAACACTGTTTTTTATTTGTTTTTTTTAAAGTGGGGTAGCCCCCAAAATATTAGGAAACATAAAAAAAGATACATTTGAGGCCTGCAGTGCATTTCTTGCAGTTCTAATGCATGGAGAAATGCTCAACTACTGATGCATGGAGAAAAGGCCTTCACAAGCTTCTGCTATTGTGTACATAGTTTATACTAAGTGACCCATAGGTTGAGGAGGTGGTGACCGTGGCGGTGTAGGTGGAAGCAGCGGTGGAGGAGGAGGAGGAGGTAGCCAACACTGTATTTTATGTTTTTTGTTTTTTTTTAATTGTGGTAGCCCACAAAATATTGGGACATACAGGGAGTGCAGAATTATTAGGCAAGTTGTATTTTTGAGGATTAATTTTATTATTGAACAACAACCATGTTCTCAATGAACCAAAAAACTCATTAATATCAAAGCTGAATATTTTTGGAAGTAGTTTTTAGTTTGTTTTTAGTTATAGCTATGTTAGGGGGATATCTGTGTGTGCAGGTGACTATTACTGTGCATAATTATTAGGCAACTTAACAAAAACAAATATATACCCATTTCAATTATTTATTATTACCAGTGAAACCAATATAACATCTCAACATTCACAAATATACATTTCTGACATTCAAAAAACAAAACAAAAACAAATCAGTGACCAATATAGCTACCTTTCTTTGCAAGGACACTCAAAAGCCTGCCATCCATGGATTCTGTCAGTGTTTTGATCTGTTCACCATCAACATTGTGTGCAGCAGCAACCACAGCCTCCCAGACACTGTTCAGAGAGGTGTACTGTTTTCCCTCCTTGTAAATCTCACATTTGATGATGGACCACAGGTTCTCAATGGGGTTCAGATCAGGTGAACAAGGAGGCCATGTCATTAGATTTTCTTCTTTTATACCTTTCTTGCCAGCCACGCTGTGGAGTACTTGGACGCGTGTGATGGAGCATTGTCCTGCATGAAAATCATGTTTTTCTTGAAGGATGCAGACTTCTTCCTGTACCACTGCTTGAAGAAGGTGTGTCTTCCAGGAACTGGCAGTAGGACTAGGAGTTGAGCTTGACTCCATCCTCAACCAAAAAGGCCCCACAAGCTCATCTTTGATGATACCAGCCCAAACCAGTACTCCACCTCCACCTTGCTGGCGTCTGGAGTCGGACTGGAGCTCTCTGCCCTTTACCAATCAGCCACGGGCCCATCCATCTGGCCCATCAAGACTCACTCTCATTTCATCAGTCTGAAATATGGCCAAACTGGTGGCAAGTGGCATCGTGGCAGCTGCACGCTTGACTTTTCTCAGTTCATGGGCAGTTATTTTGCGCCTTGGTTTTTCCACACGCTTCTTGCGACCCTGTTGACTATTTTGAATGAAACGCTTGATTGTTCGATGATCACGCTTCAGAAGCTTTGCAATTTTAAGAGTGCTGCATCCCTCTGCAAGATATCTCACTATTTTTGACTTTTCTGAGCCTGTCAAGTCCTTCTTTTGACCCATTTTGCCAAAGGAAAGGAAGTTGCCTAATAATTATGCACACCTGATATAGGGTGTTGATGTCATTAGACCACACCCCTTCTCATTACAGAGATGCACATCACCTAATATGCTTAATTGGTAGTAGGCTTTCGAGCCTATACAGCTTGGAGTAAGACAACATGCATAAAGAGGATGATGTGGTCAAAATACTCATTTGCCTAATAATTCTTCACTCCCTGTATAAAAAAAGAAACATTTGCGGCCTGCAGTGCATTTCTTGCAGTCCTGATGCATGGAGAAATGCTCAACTCCTAATGCATGGAGAAAAGGCCTTCACAAGTGTCTGCTATTGTGTGCATAGTTTATACTAGGTGACCCATAGGTTGAGGAGGTGGTGACCGTGGCGGTCTAGGTGGAAGCAGCAGTGGAGAAGGAGGATGAGGTAGCCAACACTGTATTTTATGTTTTTTGGTTTTTTTTAAATTGTGGTAGCCCACAAAATATTGGGACATATAAAAAAGGAAACATTTGCAGCCTGCGTGGCATTTCTTGCAGTCCTGATGCATGGAGAAATGCTCAACTCCTGATGCATGGAGAAAAGGCCTTCACAAGCTTCTGCTATTGTATACATAGTTTATACTAAGTGACTGACCAATAGGTTGAGGAGGCGGTGACCGTGGCGGTGTAGGTGGAAGCAGCGGAGGAGGATGATGAGGTAGCCAACACTTTCTTATATATATATTTTTTTTTTTATTTTTTTTTTTTTAATTGGGGTAGCACCCAAAATATTGGGACATAGAAAAAAGACAACTCTGTTCTGCAGAGTAGCTGTTGACATTATAGTTGTGCAGGCACTTTGTTGACTCTAGAGAACCTCGGGCCAATCGCACAACCCCATGACGGCAACTTTGCACTTGGATGTCATCCATATCAACATTCAATGCCAGCTTCTGCACCACGGGTAACGGGGAATCAGGGTTCCATTCCGTACAGGGACCCTGAGAAATGGCTACCACATGCAAGGAAGGCAGCAGGCACGCAAATGACCCATTCCTGACGCGGGAAGGTAGTGATGCTTCTGCAACCTGCTCCCTCCTATGCTGTGCTGGTGCCTTTGTGCGACCAGCGCCTCTTCCTCCAAACTGCACACGTCACTCGCATGACCTCGATTCCATGTGGGGTCTAGGACCTCATCATCCTCCACACCATCTCCCACCCACTCCTCAATCCTGCCCTCCTTGCCAGTATGCACACTGCAGAAAGCCACAGCAGTTGGCACCTGTGTTTTTCCAGCATGTAAAGTCTGCAAAGGACATATGGAAATTGTTTTAGAATTGTATCCAGGCAACAGTTTTACCTATAAACTGACCTCTCAGTTTGACTTGTGAGGGTATTGCCCCAGAATTACAATATTGTTTAAGTACCTCTTAGCTATTCATAACTGGTTTAAATATAGCAACTTGTTATCTGGTAGTTTCAAGTGTAGAAAATATCAATCTGTTTTCTATCACTTAGATCTGTGTAACAAGTGTTGTAGGTGTGAAACAATATTACAAGTGACCGATGTTGTAAATTCGAATCAAAGTTCCATTTGCAAAAAAATTTCACGCCCATCTTCTGTGGGTTATTGCATTTTTAGGACGTAGACTTATTGTATCACACTAGCCATGCACAGGTAGATTGTCTGGCACGTTGTTTTGGTGTTTGTTTTTTAACTTTGTAGTTGAGTCTTTACACAATATAGAAATGTATATTAATGCTTCTGTATATGAAGCGATCACAATAACACTTATTTTTCACTTTTGTAAAAAAAATGAGGCTACACAAAAATTGGTCATTCACAATATAGATAGAAAAAACAGGTGTAGGCACTCTGTAAAATAACTAAGTGTACGGCAGCAGTAAACCAGCAGGACTTCCCAATGCTTGCTAATAACCAGAAAGTGCAAGAACAGAGTGGTAAACCGCGCCACAGAGGAATTGGAGATAGTTAAATAGAAAAAATGATGTATACATACATACAGGGTATTCCAACAATATAATGGTAGGTATAAACCTTAAAGAGATATAAATAAGACAATAATAGTGCAGTATGTCAATTTAAAACAGTTATTGGATAAAATATACAGAAAACCAGTAGAAAGGCTAACTCACACTTTCCAGAGTTACTGAGAGCTCTACTGTATAGCGCCTGGACGGTATGATCCCCGTCTTAGGATATTGGAATAGTGGTGAGATATAGCTTCCAGAGCTCCACAGTCGTGCATGGAACAAAAACACAAATAAAATCCAATAGTGTAGTATGTATTATAAGTAGTATATATATAAGAAAGGGTAAGTACTACTTACAATTTCCAGAGCAATAAACTTGCTCTGGTGATGAAGGCTTGTGGTGGTATAATCCCCACCAAGGGATGTAGGCAGGATCCAAAGTGCACCAGGAACAAAAGGTAAACCAAGGAGAGAGGTAGGAGAAAACTGCAACTTTATTTATAAAAAAAAAATAAAAGATCTTAAAAGTCTATATGTAAAAGTCCAGCATCCAGTCTCTTACTCTACTTAACACTACATAAAGGTCCTGTTCACTAGAGTGTGTAGTCATGAATGTAACCAGTAAAACTTTGTTTTTACAGCCACTGGTTGACCCATACATATTTTAAAACTTGTTTAATTTTGTTGTAGCATGACTTGTAGATATGAAGAGCAAGCCCCAAAATGTACTATTTAGCAGATTAGCACCCAGAAAATAAGAATGTTTACCACTGCGCTGTAAGCACACTATTATACACTTCTATTTGACTCTCGGATATGAAGTGAACTCCCCAAATATACTATTTAGCACCAAATAAAAAAAATTAACTTTTTAAAACTCCAATGTAAGCAGCAGATTAGCAGCAAAACAATTAGAATGTTTACAACTGCGCAGTAAGCGCACTATTTAATGCTTCTATTTGACTCTTAGATATGAAGTGCAGTCCACAAATGTACTATTTAGCAGATTAGCACCCAGAAAATAAGACTGTTTACCACTGCGCTGTAAGCACACTATTAGACACTTTGATTTGACTCTCAGATATGAAGAGCAGGCCCCAAAATGTACTATTTAGCAGATTAGCACCCAAAAAATTAGAATTTTTACAAGTGCGCTGTAAGCACACTATTAGACGCTTCGATTTGACACTCAGATATGAAGTGCACGACCCAAAATGTACTATTTATCATATTAGCACCCAGAAAATAAGAATGTTTAGCACTGCGCTGTAAGCACACTCTTATCCGCTTCTATTTGACTCTCAGATATGAAGTGCACCCCACTAAAATACTATTTAGCAGTTTAGCACCCAAAAATTTTTAAGTTTTAAAACTGCAATGTGACAGCAGTATTTGACACTTCTCTTTGACTCTCAGATATGAAGTGCACCCCACTAATGTACTATCCCGCTAAGGTACTATTTAGCACCAAAAAAAATTGACTTTTTAAAACTCAGATGTAACCGCGGTATTTGAAGCTTCTATTTGACTCTCAGATATGAAGTGCACCCCACTAATGTACTAGTTTGCAGAATTCTTTCCTTAGCTGCCCCTATCAGCGGCATCATCCTCTCCCTACACTAATAAGACCTCATGTGTGTGCGGCGCTACGTGACTCCATCTTATATATAGAGGCTGGGTCACATACTGCACTGGCCAATCACAGCCATGCCATTAGTAGGCATGGCTGTGATGGCTTCTAAGGGCACACGAGTCAAACGCTTGTTGACTGGCTGTCCTGCAGCCTTTGAAAACGCGCCATTAAATCGCTGAACACCGAACTCCAACCCGAACATACAGTGATATGTCCGTGTTCGGGTCCGGGGTCTAAAAAACTTAATGTTCGGTATCAACCTGAACTTTACAGTCCGGGTTCGCTCAACTCTATCAACCTCCTATAGACTGTAAGTTCGTTTGAGCAGGATCCTCTTCAACCTATCATTCCTGTAAGTTTTCTTGTAATTGTCCTATTTATAGTTAGAGATGTCGCGAACCGTTCAACATGGATGCTGTCCAGGAGGTGGGAGGGTCTGGGAGGGAGGGTCTGCTGGAGATGGGCCGGGATGTGTCAGCTGACCGGAGCTCGCCACGAACCCGCGGCGAGCCGTTCGCGGGAAGTTCGCGAGCGGTTCGCGACATCTCTATTTATAGTCCTATTTATAGTTAAATCCCCCCTCTTATAATATTGTAAAGCACTACGGAATCTGTTGGCGCAATATAAATGGCAATAATAATAATATTTTGAGTAAATATTTTGCATTATGATTTTAATCACCAGTGGAAGTAGACATTATAGCAATTTGGGCACATGCGTTTGACATTATTCATATATTCCAATACAGTGTTTTTGCCATATTAAACATAATATTGTTGTATTCCGCCTCCTGTAAACTGCTAATAATTTAATAATCTGTTACATACGTTTCCATTTTAGTAGTAATATCCATGTTTTCTTTTTATTAAAGTGTAAATTGTTGTGAATTCAATGTGAAGATTCCAAGCATAAAGCTATATTCAGGAATTGAGATTCCATGCAGTTTATGTTCAATAATGAGAAATACCTTGACATAATGTGTAGGCTTAATTTCATTTGAATAATTAGCTCTCCCAACAATATTGCACTATTTAAAAACTTCTATGCTTACTAATGAGATTTAGTGATACAGAGAAGAGGGTGATCTGTTTTATACAAGCTTTAATTATCTATATTTGGCTAGAAATAAAAAGAAATCACATTACCCAACTGAATCCAGTTTAAAATAATTAACAAAATAATAAAAAGCAGCAATACACCCCTACATTATTAGTGGATGCAAGTTCTATTTTTAGAAATGCACCTTTATTTCAACTTAAAAATAGTATTTATAGCAAAGTGAACATACATAAAAATTATATTTTTCTTCCAAAATACAGAATGTTTTTTATGCCTTGGTGTTCCTGTAAAATTGATGTTTCAACGCTGTCCACAAATTGCATCCCAGCTGAAACACTACTAATGTTTGAATTAATGTTATTTCCACTCAAGTATTCCAAGGTTTTTAATATACGCTGGATGTACTTTGATAAATGTCTTTGTTAAATGTCAGTACCTGAAATATTTAATTAAATGTGTTACTAATGATATACTATGCAGCAAACCTTGTTGCTAATTTTAGACATGTCTGCCTAAACTGTTCCTATTTCTTACACTCATTTTTCATGCCTGGGGCATATCATTTATAAAAATATAATTATGCCGCAAGTGCATTCTGGAAATGCCAACATTCAACAGCCCTTAAAATAATCTGCTTAGAGTTGCCATTGAAAACAAAGGCGAATTTATATTTATATAGTTATGATTTGCTACTAGGTGCTGTCAGAGTGAGTGTCTCAATCTAGATAAATCTCATTGTGGAGTTGCTTTGCTTAGTAGCATTATGAAGTCTTTTTTAATTTAGTATGTAGCTAAAACAATAAGATTCAAAATGTGCTCTAGTGGCATGACAATGAAACGCAATGCTTGGATAAGTGTTACTATGGCAACAAGTAAAATACACATTAAAGTGTCACCTCAAACTTACCTTTTTCCTATTGTTTCCTCTTCTATTTCTCATTCCCAGTCTGTTCTTCTTTTCTATATTTCTGATCTATTTCTTTTTAAAACACAAGACAAAGTCAGGACTACTTTGTCTTATGTATTTTTCCAATGCTTGACAGTTGTGACAAAAGGGTGGAGCTTAAGTCAAGATCCACTTCCTTTGTCAAGCTAACTTTCCAAAAATCCTCACCTTTATCCTGTCCTTCCTCCGTTGCCTCACAAAAATTTCAAGCACCGAGCATATCCAGTTCCATTTTCATCATTCGTGGCTTACGGGGCGTAGGCGGCCGCGGCTTCCCATCACATAATGTAGGAATGAGAATGCAGTGAATTTATGTCACTGACAGCAATAAGATTGTGATAGCAAGATGCTGGTACCAGGAATGAGAATCCAGAGCCTCGAAGAGGAGCGCAATTTGAGGTGTAAGGGGGCGATTTATTAAGTAAAATATATTAAAAGGGGAAA